TGGCAAATCCTGCACATACAGAAAAAGCAAGCCACTTCAAAATCACTTGGACCTCAGCCAGAAGAGGAAAAACCCAGACAAGGAGTTCATAAATCTTAAGGATAAATGTTTCCCTGCACGTAAAAAACAAAAGGTAACTTATAAAGTACTTCCTTTGATTTCTCCTGATCTCTCTAACTTTAAGAAGTCTGCCCCTAAAATCTGGGGATCAGGCCCAGTTCTCTAAAAGGAAAGGACAAATTGCCTAAAGTCTTTAACGTTCCAGATCCATTAAAGTATTCCATCTGCCTAGAGAGATCCTAACCATTGAAACCAGTTTTGAACAAAAAATAATGTTGAAGAATCTCAGGGGCTTTTAGATACAAGGTCAAAGACTATTAATTCTGAAATATGGGGATATAAAGATGGAAATTTAGAATTTCATCCTTTTATTATGTCTGTTTAGTCTGTATTAGGGAGCTTTGGTGGCATAGTCTGTAGGGAGTCATACTGCTAATCCTGAAGCCATACCACTGTTAAACAAATAATCTGAGAAGCTGGACTACAAAATGAAGAAAGTGACATCAAGTTTATAGGAAAACTCATCAACAACCTGTGGTAGGGAGATGAGTCAACCTTTCAGAAAGTAAAGAGGACTTCAAGCAATTACTAGAGAAGATCAAAGACTGCAAAACGTATTCTTCTTCAACAACAACAAAAGCCTCACAACTTGTCCATTAAGCAACACTATGATAAAGGAAAACATTAAAATTCTCAAGTATTTAATTTTACTTGGATCTACCATCAATACCCATGGTAGCAGTAGACAAGAAATCAAGACTTATTGCATTAGGAAGATCTGCTATCAAGGACCTCTTTTAAATGCTAAAAATGCAAAGATGTCCGTTTAAAAACGAAAGTGCACCTGACCCAACACACTGTCATTTCAATTGCTTCAAGTTAGACAATGAATAGGAAGACCAAAAAAGAACTGATGCCTTTGAATTGTGGTGCTGGCAAAAAGTATTGAATTTTCCATGGATTGCCAAAAGAATAAGCAAATCTGTCTAAAAGAAGTTCACCCAGGCTGCTCCTTACAGGCAACAAAGGTGAAACTTCATCTCACTTACTTTGGGCATGTTCTCAGGAGGATTCCTAGAGAGAGACCTCAGGCTTGGAAAAGCAGAGGGTCCATGCAAAAGAGGAAGAATCAGATGGATTAACACAGAACTTTAAGCAATGGGCATAAGTACAGCAGAGATTATGAGAATGACATAGGATTGGGCAGGGCTTCATGCTGCTATGCATATTTGCTATGAGTTGAAGCCAGATTCCACAGTACTCAACAGTATCAGAAGTCCACAAGTTGATTATCTTCTATATATTACTTAGCCGGTAAATATGCATGGACAAAAACAAATAAATACCTACATACTTCCCCTGCCAGAGTTTAAATTCTATCATTATCAGAATTGGGTTGTTGGGGTGTTTTGTTTTGTTTTTTCCCTTTTGGTCATAAGTTTGAAAAGTAGTTCTGTTGGATAATGATTTGAAATCTTACTTCCCAACTTAGAGGGAACTCCTGTGGTGTAGTCCATAGGGAGTTGCCCTGATAACCCAAAGGCAAAGCCTCTGGTGGTTCAGGTCTACTGTCACTCTTCTCATGTGATTAAGAGCTTCTGAACCCCCATGGAAAGTCAGCTATGAGCTAATTTTGACCCAATGATAATGAGGATTTTAAGAAAGTATTTTAATAAACTGGTACTATAGTAAAGACGGTGTTCTTCAATATGGATTGTGACTTAACACCAAGAAAACAAAGACCAATTGGCCACCACCAGACCAATTGGCAGTATCATGTTAATGGAGAAGAGATTGAGGTTGTTAACAATTTCATCTTGCTCAGATCCACAATTATTGGCACCAGCAGTCAGGAAATCAAAAGATGAGTTGCTTTAGGAAAGCCTGCTGTCAGATAACTGTTTAGAGTGCTGAAGAGCAACAATATCGGTCTACAAACTAAGGCCCACCTGATACAGGCCATAGTCATCTCAATTCCTTGTTTTACATTAGAGAGCTGGACAATACATAAAGATGACAGAAGTGGAATCTAAGCTTTTGAATTGTAGGCTAGAGAAGAATATTGAACCATCGTTGAACTGCCAAGAGAATAAACACATCTGTCCTGGAGAAGGTGAAACCAGGCTGCTCCTTAAATGCAAGGATTTTTGAAACTTTTTCTCACATACTGTAGGCATGTTGATAGGAGGGACCAGTCCTTGGACAAGGACATCATGCTTAGAAGGGTAGAGAATCAGCACAAGAGTGTGAGACCTTGGATTAAATGAATTTACACAGTGACTGTGTCAATGGAGTCATGTGTGTCAGAACAGGACATTGGCTCAGGATAGGGCAGGGTTCAGAGCTATTGTTCATAGGGCTGCTTGCTATGAGTCACAATTACCTGAATGGCACATAACACTAACAAGTCAAGACGGCTTCCAAGGTAAGAATAACTAGTGGTTGTCCAGAGAGCAAACTATCTGAGCAAGCTTTGTTTAAAAGAAAATGTTTCATATGTTGTTAGGTACCATCAAATTGGAACCAACGCATAGCTGAACTCCCAGGAGGCTTTCAGAGACAGTAATCACATAGGTGGAGATGCCCCTTTTTCTTCCAGAAAGCAGTTGGTGGATTCAAACCCCATGTTTTTGGCTTGGCAGCACAACTACATGTATACTCTATGGTTAAAGAGATTACAAAAAAATCCAAGGAGTAACTGCTAAAACATTAACATCTTTGAAGGTATCAATGAGACCTACAAAAAGTGCACCAAAAGTTGAACTTTCTTGAAGGAATACAGAGTTTGTTAGTCAGCTTTTGGCCCTACTGTAATAGGCTTAATTCTACAACGGCTCTCCCAGGTTTTCTGCCTTGACATCCTAAGACTGTAAATGATGAGAAAATGATAATTATAGCCACAAAGGATTTTTAGATGTAATTATGGTTACTAATCAGTTGACCCTATAATTAAAGTTAATATAATCAGTTGCATTCAACAAATTAATCACATGTATACATTAAAAGTAAAGATTTCTCTGGTTAGCAGCAGAAGAGAAAGACAGAGATACTCAAAGTATTAAAATAAAATTAAAATAACATGGGTAACCTTTAATAGTAAAGAGCAGCCCTTTGGTAATAAGCAGCAGGGAAGTTGAAACTTCAGATACAAAGAGCTACAAAAATTAATTGCTCCAAAAACCTGAAAATTCTTAACAGATTCTCCCTCCAAACTTGTAGATATGAATCTAACCCAACCTGTAATTTGATTTGGGAGACCTTACTCAGAACTCGAAAAAGCCTTGTGGAAGCAGTAGTAAAGCTTACTACTGCTAATCAAAAGGTTGTTGGTTTGAACCCACTAGCCACTTCACAGGAGAGTGCAGCAATCTGCATCTGTGAAGAGTATACCTTGACCATCTTATGGTGAAGTTCTACTATATTCATCCTACAGGGTAACTATGAGAATCACCTTGATGCAATGAGAAACACCGACAAGTCTTCCTGAACTTCTTCCTGACAGACATGTGATATAATGAATGGTTTTAAACCTCTACTTGTGTGGAAATTTCTGTAGCAAATTCTGTAGCAAATGTAGCTAAGACGGTTCTAAACACATGCTCCTATAAGAATGAATATATTTGACTAATAGTCAGAACTTAATTGAAGAGAATAATGACATTTTATTATTGTCACTGGACAATTCTTTTTTAAAAAAAAATGTCAAATGGAAGCCAAATTTGCTGTAGAATCTTTCACCTACAACACAATAAAATATTTAAAAGAGAATAATCAAGGAACTTGGAAGATGAGATCTTAACATTGTTAATGGTGGTTCCACAAAGATGAATTCTTTTTATAATTGTAGCAGGTGAAAGAAATTACCTTTGTTACACTTAATGAAGGAAAAAAGTAGACAAGTTGGCTACAAATTGGTTAAAAACTCTATTTGTAATTTTCCACCTAAGACCTTTCCTAAATACCAAAGTGAATTTTCCCCTAGGGCTCTTAGATTTGTGAATTTAAAACATGTTATATAAGTGAAATAATTTTTATCTGAAAACTAATAAAACCAAAATATAAAATAAAAAATGTTTAATTCCATTTTGAATGTGTGCTAAATTCAGTACAAATTGATAAAGCATTTTTCCAGGTCAAAAGGAACCAATGTTACATTTAGAAGGCAATTGATTGTGCATAAAAAATATCATCTACATTCTATTTTTAAAGAAATTGAAGACATTATTCTATGCTTAATGTGTTGCAATAATGATGTCATCTTACAGCCCAAGACACAAGAACAAAGGAGTCATGCAATAAAGCATTTTCCCCCCCGTGTATTATTTTTATATACCAGTAAAAAATAAACTCTTTAATAAATAAATATATATATATAATAAATATTTGCAAATTGAAAATGTATAAATAGGTCCATCCTCAAAAAAAAAAAAAGTCCTGTCTTGATGTGACATGTTTTATGGTCCAAGTTTCACTCCACTTTTTAACATCTAATGCCATAACTTGTGAAAGTCTTATGGGTCTTCAGAATTCATGGAACATAAACTCTCTTCAACATGAAGTATCTATATTTAATGTAACTCCTTAAAGTAAACATAGTCCAGAGAGGTGAGGCACCAGCAGCAAACTAGGTGGTATTTCCATCATCCATAGATAAAGAAACTTTAAGCTTCGATCATCAGATAAAGACTGAGCCAAAATATCGAAGAGAATCTCATCTGTATATGAAGAGTGATCTTGTTCTACTTCAAGAGGGTGGTGGGGTTGGCTGTGGCAGCCAAACTCTTAGTGGTAATTTGACTCATTATTCATTCCAAATTCAGTCTCTCAGTGGAAAATAGACTCCATAACATTCTAGATGTCTTCCTAGACTTTTGCATTGAAAATTGTGGTAAAAAAAGAATGATTGTAGTTTGGTTTGCTTGTAAAGATACTATCATTCTTCAGCTGTATATCAGTAGGTCCTTGTACAGTTCTGGCACTCTTTCTGGATCCACTGGTCTAGGAAGGAAATGAGTAAATTTCTGGTGTCTTTTTGACCTGGCACCATCTCTTGGAGTTCCATCTTTGTTAAGTGCCACAAAATACCTGCGACCAGTGTCTCCGTGTTTATATATGTTGGATGAATAGGTATTATACCAGTTCTCTTCAAATTGCTCCCTAAAGATGCATTCAGAAGTCAGTTTTTCCTAAAAAAAAAACCAAACCGGAATATTATCATTAAAAAATGCTTTCAAGACAATTTCCTTAGAGTAGTCTAAACTATATTTTAATGTCTTTGCCTATAATAATATCCTTTTAAAGAAGTATTAATAGTACATTTCATTTGTTTTGTTTTGTTTTAGTTTATGTTACCTGGAATTCCTTACAGAGCTTAAGTGTCACATGGCGAGTCTCAATTTTAATATCAGCTACACAACAATGTGCATGTGGATCTTTCCCATAATCTGTATAATCTTGCTCCTACTGCCTTTATCAAAAGTCTATAAATTATCTTCTCATGTCAATAGATGTCAAAGTTCTACATGTCAATCTCTAGAATTACCTTGGAGCATTTCAAGATCTTGCTAAAATCTAAATTTCTAATCCAACAACATCACTTCATATTATATATCTTTCATTTATAAATTTATGGTTTGATGATACATTCTCCAGAATTACCCTGCTCTTTTTAAAGTGTATGTGGCACAAATTTGACAATTTGTCTTTTCCAAATGGATTAAATATTATCCTAAGAAACAGATGATAATTTTGTTTTGTTTTTGTTTCAACATGTTTGAACAAGGAAGACTGTAAGTGGTTCTCTTTCATTGTAAATATACTTATGATTATTAAACACAGCTTTATTTCTTTTTCTTCTCATCTAACAGTTTGAAAGAGAGATTTGACTTTACAAAGAACAAATATTATTCTGTCTCTCATTTGTTGCTGTTATGTTAATTCTGATCCATAGTACCCCTATGGGAGAGAGTAGAACTAGACTACAAAGACTGTAATCTTTCTGAAGAAAGCCAAAATGGCACAGTAGTTAAAGCACTCAACTGAAAGTTTAGAAGTTCAAACACACCAGTCTCTCCTCAGGAGAAAGATGTGACAATTCGCTTCCATAAAGACTACAGCTTTGGAAAATCTATGGTGCAATTCTACTGTCTTATAGGCTTATGATGAGTCAAAATTACCTCAATGGCAATGGAATGTGTGGGGAACCTTTATAGAAGCAGCTTGTCACATCTTCTCCTCTAGAGAAGCTGGTGGATTCAAACAATTATCTTCCAGGTAGCAACAGTTTTTAACCACTGAACCACCAGGGCTCCTTGTTGGTAATCTACGTACTACAATTTTATAATAAATGTTTCTTGATGTATATTGAGAGTCTAACTTTCTCTTAGTCTTTATTGAGATTTTGTTTTTTAAAAGTAAGAAACCAGACAGTACCCTCTACTAAATCATAGAAAGTAAATTTTTTCTATTAAAACAATTATGAAGACTTTGACAATGGGAAAAATTTTATATAAGAGGATTAATAGGATAATGACACACACTTATACCTTATAGATTTTCTTAAAATTATATAGCTAGCCATGAAAAAGAAAGAATTTTAATAGTGGAAGAGAAAAAACTTGAGTTTTATAGCATCCTGTTAATCTCTAGGGAGTGCTTGTGGTATAGTCAGTAGAAATAGAGCTATGCTAACTCAAGGGTCTAAGAGGTCAGAATGTACTAGCAGCTCCTTGGGGAAAATATGGGCAATTTCCTCCCAGTCAACATATTGCTATGTACTGTTGAGTCAGAAGTGACCTGTAGCTGACTCTCCCGTGGGTTTTTAAAGGTAGTAAATCACATGAGAGGATACGACCCATATTTCTCCTGTGCACCAGCCAGTGGATTCAAATAGCAAGCATTTAGGTTGGCAGTCCAATTTCTTACCCCTAAGCCACCAGTGCTCCCACCCAGGCAACTTAGAGCCTTGGAAACCTGACAGAGGGTCAGCAACAAGTTGATTCAGATTTGATAGCAGTGACTTGAGCTGAATTGTTACTCTAAAATTTTTCTGTTATTGTTGCTATGTCCTTCAAAAAGTATGTTTCTTACACTGATAAAGTACTAATCTGAAAATTTTATACTAAATCATATACCTAAAATATTCATAGTAGACTTATAGATATGTCATTATCCTCAGTGGCAAGTTAAAAATTATCCATTGTCAACTACCTGTAGCTACTATAGTTGTCAAGATATGATGGACTTGTACTGTTGTCATTTTATGTTATTGGGTACAATATTATAAAGGTTTACTCATGTCTAGATTGTATAAGAAAGTCAATAAGTAAATTTATATATATATATTTGGAAATGAGATGTAACACCAGTAAAAATACATTAAATTAGTGAAAAATAGGAGGCTAAAAGCAGTATCAATAATGGTTTGAAGTTAATGAAAGTAAAGTGGATTAATATACTACTATTGCCCAGAAACATGGACATTTAATTATACTTTATATAATTCTTCTAACATGCACTATCCTTTTTGTAACATGCACTATTGATAGGCATTTTAAATTTATTTTGTAAAATAATCATTTTTTTAAAAAAATAAAAGACACATACTGAGCCATAGAGTTCTCCTTTGTCATTCATTCCAAGGTAAAGACCACTGTCCACACCTCTAATACTGACCAGTCCCACGGCCACACTGATAAATTCCAGGATACCTGAATTTAAAAGACAAAACATTGCATTTATTAGTGAACATGACTAATAAAACTCTTCCAAATAGTAGTAGCATATCCAAAAGTGAAAAATACAACAATGCATAAAGAAGGTCTCTCAAAACTAAGAAGTGATATGCAATTTTTTTAACTATTATGATCCCTCTTACAGATGGAAAAGAAAGCAAAAAATATTCATCATGACATAATTTGAAAGTGTGAAATCTTAAACTACATTGACCTACATTTAATATTCAGTCTACTAACTCACTAACTAAGCTGACTAGGTGAGACATTCTCTTCTTTGAACTTGAAAGTACTCATATTTTTAAAAATGGGAGAAATGCATCTCTACAGGAGAGTGGTGATGACTGACACATACCAAGCATACAACAGACAGAACCTTTTATTATTAAAAATTATGTTTGCAGTGTTCTTAATTTATCATAATGCTAAAGCTATTTATTTTGTTCACAAAAAAATCAATGTCAGCATTATTTTTAACAACAAAAGGAATATAACTTATATGGGTATATCAGTGTTTTATAGTTAATAAGAAGATTCTAGTTATATGTCCTTATCTGGTCCTAAAGATAATTCCATTAAGACAAAAAAATGAAGCATGATATTCTCACTCTACTGAGGCTCAGAGACGTTCATAGACTTAGCTAAGAGTACTTATGCTTTTGACTACTTCTTTCCATTTGACTCTTTACTTCATAAGTAGAGACACATTTCTACTATTAAAATTGTCCTAAAGAGTTTTCTATTAAGTCATTAAGCCGTTATCAATGAGGGCCTTTGACTAGTAACTGAATCTGCTGCCCATGATACTATGATCGGTGGAGCTCCCACTGTTCTTGTTGTTGGGTGCTAGTGAGTCAAATACAACTCATAGCAACCGTATGAATAGCCAACCTGAAACGTGCCTTCTCCTGAGCAATTCTCCTCAGCACACTGCTGAAGTCACAATGTCAGTCTATCTTGTTGGGGGTCTTTCCTTCACTGATCATCGTTATAAGCATGATATATCTTTAAAAAAATAGCCTTGCCTAGCTACATGTCCAAAATATGAAAGACCAAGCTTCATCATCCGTGCCTCCAAGAAATACTCCAGCCACATCCTTTCCATAACATATCTGTTTGGTTTTTTGGCAGTCCATGGGATGTTCAGTACTCTTCTCCAGCACCACAAGTCAATGTCATCAATTCTTATGTCATCATTATTCATTGTCCAGGTCTCTGATGTGTAGCAGGTGATTGACAAGATCATGACCTGAATCAGGCATATTTATTCTTCAAACTGACATCATGACTCTTCAGTATTTTGAAGATGCCCCTCACAGCAGGCTTGTCTAATGCAATATGTCTCTTGATTTCCTGACCGCTATTACCAAGAGTGTTGATTTTTGATACAAGGAAGATGAAATCATTAACAGCTTCAATCTTTTCTCCATTTATCATAATGTTGACTGTGACAAGGACCTGTGTCTTCTTGATGGTGAGATTTAATCCATTTCAAAGTCTGTAGTTCTTGATCTTCTGCAGCGAATGTTTCATATTCTCCTCACTTTCAGCAAGCAAACTTGTATCAACAACAGAATACAGGTTGTTGATAGGTTTTCCACCAAACTTAATGCTAAACTCCCCTTCAATTAAAATATTGTTGACGATCATTCCAAAGTAGCTAAAACAGTACACTGATAGGGAGCTACCAGAAGTACAAGCTGGTATTAGAAGAGGCCACAGTCCCAGAGGCATTGCTGACATCATTTGGATCCTAGCTAAAAGCAGAGAATACCAGAAAGTATTTTTGCTCTATTGACTATGCAAAGGCATTTGACTGCATGACCATAACAAATTATTGCTCACAGTGAGAAGAATGGGAATCCCAGAAGTTGTACTCATCCATAATCTATACCAAGACCAAGAAGTTGTTATATAAACAGAGCAAAGGAACACTGCATGGTTTAAGATCAGGAAAGGTGTGCATCAGGAAGCTCCGCTGAGTCAGCATTTTGAATCCCTCAGCTTCTTGGAGAGACAAAGATGGGCAAACTCTTCTCATAAAGATTTATGGCCTTGGAAACCAGACGGAGGGTCACTATAAACAGGAATCCACTCGACAGCAGTCTGGTTTGGATTTAGGAAAGGATGGGATCAAGGAAACAGATAGATATATCCTGTTTTTAAAAATGGCAGTAGATATGCTGCTTTAACGTGTGTTCTTCTCCAGAGACCTGTCAATATTCTGATCTCCTACATAAGGTTCCTCAAAACTTAAAGGAAGAAGAACTGTGGCAGAACCATTGGAAGCAACACCCAGTCAAAGTAGTGGTGCCAGTCACCATCACTGAGATGGGTGTAGCTCTTTGCTTCCTATCGGAATCAAAATACCAAACAAATAATGAACTATTTTAAACTGATTGGTGGAAGTCTTACTTTCTAAGTTTTTCCTTCACCCCATCTTAAACTCCCAAAGTAGCTAAAGTTTGTATTTTCACATTGTTTAGCATGATTCTTGCTCTTAAGTAATTTCTTGATTTGTTTTACGAGTTTCTGACAAGATACAAAAAATGAAACCCACTACTAACAAGTCAATCCTAACTCATAGGGACCCTCCATTGGTTTCCAAGTGTGTATATCTTTATGGGAGGATACTGCTCATCTTCTTCCCACAGACAAACTAGTGGATTTGAACTGCTGACCTCTTTATTAATAGCATAACACTTAATGTACTATGCCTCAGAATTCCTTAAGAGTATATATATATACACACACACACACACTGGCCATTACATAGAAGAGTCTATTCTGCCCACAGCCTAACTCACTCTTTGGCAGCAACAGATTCATAGAGAGACAAATTAGTTCTATCAGACTACTAGGAGATTATGTAGAACACTGGTGTTATCAAGGATCTTACAGCAACAATACAGGACTAAATACTTTGTAAATGGCTTGAAACAGTTATTGAGCTTCCCTAATTGAACTTAAGGTAGAGAGATGATAGATACCGCAGAGAAGATCCTAACTCCCTAAGACTATCATCATGATGCAAGAATACAGGTGAAAAGTAAACAAATATTAATCACCAAGCTCATTAATGAGCAGTTTCTGATAGAAACAAAAACACAGGCCTAGAACAGAAACAGAAAAAAAAATCCTTATTAATGGAATTTTATTCAGGATATAAAATATATATTATGGGTGGATATATTAAACAGTATATTCAAATTGAAAAGTGTATTATGGTTGACAGATAATTTCATTCCTTTATAAGTATGATTCACATTAAGATGCCTTTGACTTTTAAAAAACAGGAATTGCTTAACTGATTAAAAGGTAAAACAGAAATAGTTTTTAAGCACAATAAAATATAAGCTTAATTTCCCTGCAAACAAATTTTATACTAAGTACCAAGAAGATTCTATTTTTCTTGGAAAATTAACTGATAAACTACTTATATTTCAATGCTCATCCTAGAATAATGCTATCATTTTGTTAAAATTATGTAGCTCTAGAAAGTAAAAATATTAAATTATTATTAATTGTTAGATTCAATGGGTTCAACTTTAGTTTTTATTCATTTGTTTACACTCATATACATTGTATTTTATATAATTATTACTGATCTATGCCTATTATCCCCCTTTTTCTATGAGTCCACATACAATCTTTCCTATTCTTTCACACACACCCTCTACCATTGACCTTTGTGATTATCCTAGAGATTTCCCCCATTCCCTTTCTTTGGCTCCCCATATCTTCTTCCCCAATAATTTCAACTTTTTATTCAATAACCTCTAAAATCTGATATATAACGAGGCATAAATAATTTTGTAATGGCTCATAGGGGCTGATGGGGGAAAAGGTGAGGTGTTTTTTGTGTTCTTCTTAAAGATTTTAGCCACACTGTTTAATTCTGATCCTTTTTCTCCTCATTGAAATAGTATACTACATAGTAATTTGTAATCATTTGATTCTTAAATGTGATTTGACAAGTCTTTCTTATTTATAAAATGAGGTGGTAACTAAGCTAATTCCTTTACAAAGAGTAGACATGAAAAACTTTCCTTAAGAGGTAATCACAGATTTTAGATAGATTTTCTAATGCCCAGTGTCCCATAAAAAGACTTGGAGGTACTTTGTCTTTCTGGTATCATTTTCAAAGCCAGCCTTCTTAAAAATCATAATAAACAGGTGAGTCAACCCACAATGCAACCACATCAGACAAATCTATGGAGAATAGGGAAGAATAAAAGGAAAGCCTTTAAAAGAGTATGTTTGATCTCAGGCTACACATTTTTTTAAAGTAATGATTCCATGTTTACATATTAGGTAAATTCTTACTACTATACTACTGTGCAGAAAAATCTCATTATAAATATAACTCATATAGGAAATTATATTTTACCCTCAGTGGAATAATTTTGTTTATAGCCTATTGATGTGGTCTGAAGATTTACAAATACAGCATTCTGAGGGAGTTTATTCAATAATGGTGAGATTAGAATAAAATTATTAAAAATATGTATTTAATATCTCAAGTAGTCATTCTTGAGTTTTCCCAAAATTCTTACTTCAATGGCACAGAAACAAGTTTAAAAGAAAACATAGCAACATAATTTCAGAATTAATGATTGAAGTACTAGAAAAAGCAAGCAAGCATAGAGAAAGCATATATATATATATACTTTTCTATGAACTTGTTTTTTCCCTTGCAGATGGCTAAACTATCAGAGACCACTAGGATGCAGTATAGTTCATTGTAAAGAGACCTTTCACTACTTCAGACTAACAGTCTAATAAAGAAAACTTCACCTTTGCTAACAGTGAATATTTTGTTCAGATGTGCAGTGTATCACAAAAAGACTTACCACCCCAAATTCTAACCCACTACCACTGAGTTGATTCTGACTCATAGAGACCCTATGCATGTAGTTTCACTTCTAATTCAAAGGCAATAGTACTTGGTTGGTGGTTCAAATCTACTTGCAGCTCCAAGGAGAAAAATGGGCAATATCCTCTCATGCAATTTACAGCCTCCAAAAACTCATTGGAGTGTCAGCTCTGAGTCCCCTAGACTAAGCGGCAGTGAGGATTTTGAGTCAAAGGGTCTAGAGGAATAGTTCATAGTGAGATGTTAACCCAAACACTGCACATCTCTAGAGGTTCACCTCTACCAGCGGTTCTGATTGTGACTTACAGCCTCAGGAACTGATGTAGTCGTAATGAAACCTATGACTGTTTGGAGGTGTTATGTTTTGAGTTTGGGGTTTCCCCCCAAGGATTTTCAAGGTTGCAAATCTTTACAGAGTAGACTACTGCCATGTTTTCCCTAAGGAGCTGTTAGATTTGAACAGCTGACTTTTGGGTTACCAGTGGAGCAGCTTTAAACATTACATCATCAGGGATCTTTATTGTGACTTAAAGCAGTATAAATAAAATCAGCCTAAGTCAAGCAGTGGCATATTTTAATGGAGGTATTGTGGCCTAATGGATAAGGAATTGCACTATCAACCCAAAAGCATGATGTTTTAACCCACCACTTGTTGTTGTCAAACCTAGTACAACTCATAGTGACCTTATGAACAAAAGATCTGAACCCTGTTCTATCCTGTGCCATCCTCACACTTCCTGACACACAAGAGTCCTTTGTGGCAGTCACCATGTCAGTCTACCTTGTTGAGGGTCTTTCTATCTTTCGCCATCCCTCCACCCTTCCCAGCATCATGTCCCTCTCCAAGGAATACAGCACGCTAGCAACATACCCAAAGTATCATCATTCTTGCCTTCAAAAAGCACTCCAGCTGCACTTTCTCCAAGACATATATGTTTGTTCTCTTGACTATTCATGTGATGTTCAGTAATCTTCACCAAAGCTTAAAGGCATCAATTCTTCTGTCATCTTTATTCATTGTCCAGGTCTCAGATGCATAGCAAGTAACTGGAAAGACTATGGCCTGAATCAGATACACCTTAGTCCTCAAACTGGCATTATTTCTCCTCAATAATTTGGAGAGGTCCCTAACTACATATTTTTACAGTGCAATGTGTCTCCTCATTTCCTCACTGCTCACACCAAGGGTGTTAATTGCGGATCCAAGCAAGATGATGCTGTTGACAGTTTTAATCTCTTCTCCATTATGATGTTGCCTATCAGTCCAGTGGTAAGAAACTTTGTGTTCATGACATTGAGATTCAATCCATACCAAAGGCTCCTTGATCTTCTGCAACCAGTTCTTCAAGTCCTCTTCATTTTTAGCAAGCACAGTTGTGTCATCTGCATAATACAGGTATTGATGAGTCATTCTCCCTCCAACCCTGATGCCACACTTTTCCTCATAAAGTTTAGCTTCTCGGGTAATTTGCTCAGCTAAACAGGTATATAGAGAGAATACAACCCTGGTGCAATCCCTTCCCAATTTACAGCTCCTGAAAATCCACTGTTGTTATTGCTGTGTGTCATCGAGTCAGACCCACACATAGCAGAACCTCTGGTGGGCTTTCCAGAGAAAGTAAATCCCACAGGAAGAGAATGTCCATCTTTCTACTGCAGAGCAGATGGTGAATTCTAACCAAGTCTCTCAGATTGCAACACACTTTCTTACCACTAGGCCACCAGAACTTCCTTAAAAACCAGGAAACTCACTGGAAAGTCAATTATGAGTTCAATTTGACTGTACGGCAATGAAAAAGAATTTTGAGGAGAACTGAGGCCTTTGTGGGTCTGACGTCATCAGCTACCCTAAATGTGAACACTTGGAATCCACCAACCTTTCTGTAGAAGAAAAGTTGAGTTTGCTGCCTTGTTGTTGTTGTGTACCGTCAAGTCAGAACCTCCCCAGAGCTGACCCTCACATGGGAAGAGATTGCCCATTCTTCTCCCACAGAGCAGTTGGTGTCCTCAAACTCCATGTCTTTGGAATTGCAGTGCAGCTTTTTGCCACTAGGCTACCAGAGCTCCCTAGTAAGCTTAGAAACCTGATGTAAGAGCTCCATAAGTTGGAATCAATTTGGCAGCAGTGCATTTGGCTTATACAAATTTTATCAAGAACTTGTGCAAGTAAGATGGTAATTTTGATGATGTTGTTGTTTTTGTTATGTGCCATCGAACAGCCTTTAACTCATAGAGACCCGATGTATGATAGCTCTGAACCCTGCCCTATCCTAAGCCAGTCTCACTGACTCTGATACACCTCTTCCCATTACCCCAGCTACTGTTTAGTAATTTTTATGAGTAATATTCATTTCTAAAGGTACTAATTTGAATATTAAGTGAAAGAACATTATTAAATCCACAAGTATTCACTAATCTCTTCCCATAGAATGGCTGTGGCATTTCATCAAGTCGGAGCTGACCCATAGCTGACCCCCAGCAGATTTTCAGAGGCAGTTAATCACACCAAAGATTGTCCTTCTTTTCCCACGAGTAGCTGCTGGATTCAAACTGCATCCCTTCAGGATTGCAGCGCAATTTCTTACCACTAGGCCACCAGAGCTTCCTTCCCACAGAATTAGTCTTATAAAAAAGACTCAAAGCTTAAGAAACCGTTTCAGTCATTGGTGAGATTACTGCAGGATTATAAAATGTCTTTAAAGCAGCATTTCCAATGCTACACTGTTGTTCCACTGCTGCTGTGTTGGGAGCAGGGTGGGGAGACAACCTTAGCTTTCTACCTATAGGCATTACCACATGTGTTTTTACGCCTACATTCTCTGACAGCTGCAGGATCCCCACAAGGGTAGGATAGCCATTTGCAAAAACAAGACCTGATGTCTGAAAAGAGCCACCTGGTGTCAGCAAAGTTCCTTAGAATCAGAATCTCAGTTATCCTCAATTTAAAGGCATTTTCCAAAAGTGGCCCCAGCCTGGAACACTAGGTCATGACATTCTCAACTCATAGTCAATGCGAATTTGGAAGAGGTCAGTGGAAGCCGCAAACATATGGGTTTATAAACGTTAATTTTCTAAGCCTTTAAGTGCTGCCAAATGACCACCACATGCTCATTTCTACATCTAGAGTTTAAAATGCCCATCAAACTGAGATTTACACATCTCCAAAGTTTTAATGAGTCTTACAACTGGGGAAAAAAAAAAGAAATGAAAGCAGAAGAAGGAGGGGTAAGGACAAGATAAGAGAGGGGCATTCAGAGAAGACATTCCCAAGGAATTCCAGAGTGCTATGGAAGGGAAATGAAAACCAATACTGGGGTGCACCCCTTCACATTGCTGCTCACAAGAAATCATCTTTAAATTCACGTCTCCAATGATGCAACAAGTTTCACAGTCTAAACCATTTGACAGTGGTAGTAGGTTAACACTAATAACTAGTTATTCAGAAAATGGGAAGTTAGAAGGAAAAGTCATTTCAAGTGCTCACCTAAGTTAATCATACAGACAAGAAATAAAAACTCTTATTTGTGAGGACTTGCTTGTTACACAGCTAGTTAAGGAATAATTAATAGCAGAGGCCTTACAAATTTTCAATTTAGTGTCTAAAGTAGACAACGGCTTAAAACGTCTTTATTTCTTTTAACCCCTTAGATTCCCTGGCACTGATTGAGACACTCGTAATGAGGCTCCTGTGTGTTCCCACCCATATCTCCTTTCACTTCCCCATTTCCTCCTACTGATGGTCAATACCAAAACCTTGGTTTTCAGGTTTCACAATTTCTAAAGAGGAGCTTGGCCAAAAGACTGAGCATGCTCAGTAGCAGTGTAATCTTTCTTTGCTCCCCTCCTCCTTTTCTCCTTTTATCACCCAAACAGAACTCTAGGACCACAAAGAAGTGCCGCCAGGTGAAGCAAAGGGTTTCGACGGTACCCACAGAAAAGTTAATCTGTTACTAGGAAAGGTGAACGTTTACAGTTCTCTACACAGGCGCTCGCATCCAATGAAAGGGCGGCCCTCAAACACAAGCCATGGATGCAGAATCAAGTTTAGCTGCATTATCTTTAGTGAACATTGAAAGACAGAAACTATAACATTTCCTGTGATGACTTTTTTTGGCAAGTGGATGGTACTAAGGGAAATGTGAAAAGCAGGAGGAGAAACTAATAGTAGCGTCTAAAAACAAAACAAAACTCCGTCTGGGAGGTAAGACAGGGAGGGAAACGTGAGTTCTAGATCTGGTTTGGATGGATGTCTTACGTTGTAGATAAGGTAGAATTTCTTGGTTGGCAACGTCCTTTCTTCTCCCTCCCCCAGACCCACAGGAGACCTCAGAGCACGCCAGTGGGACAAGTCATGTCTGCTGCTGCCCCAGGTCATGTTTCGCCCCGAGGATCCCAGGGGGCCCAAGGTGGTGCGCCGGAGAGGAAGGCGGTGCAGGGGAGGAGGGAGGCGAGGCGGGAAGGGAGCGGGGCGTGAGGGATGCCAGTACGTACCGAAGAGGCTGTGGTCCTGCCGGGTGCCCTGCACGCTGCCGTCGGGCAGGATCTGCAGGTGGAAGCCGGTGCGGCAGTAGAGCTGGCGGCGGCGCAGGATGCCGTGCAGGTGCGCCAGCTCCGCCGCCCCCGGCCCGCCGCGCGCCCCGCGCTCTGCCGCGCCCCTGCGCTCGCCCAGCAACGGCGGCCGCTCCCCCGCCGGAGGCAGAAGGAAGTGCGAGCCCACCTGCTGGCCCAAGCCCTCTAGGCCTCCCAGGAAGCCGCCAACCTCGGCCAGGGGAGCCATGGAGACGTCAGCGGGGGGCAAGGAGGATCGGGGGCGGGGGAGGCACTCCTCACACACACCCCAAAAAAAAGTAGCTAAAAAAGGGTAGGGGGCTGCGGATGAAAAAATTCTAGCAAAACAAATGCAGGAAATTGAAGGCAGATTACTCCTGTGTGGTCGCTGAATGGACGTGGCACTGAGATGTCAGGGAAGCATCCACTGTCTTGGAGGGATCTTCTCTCCTCAGATAGGTGAGAGTTGGCTGCACGCTGCGCAAAAACATCTATACCTGCGGCTGCCAATACTGGGCCAGGGGCTCAGGTTCCAACTCCGCAAACTGATCAGATCAGAGTCCTGTGTACATACACACCGAGTATATATGCAAGTCCTCTTGACATATGCTAATCAAGTCCTTTCGTGCGCGCTGGGGAGGTTCTGTTTGAAATCTTAAACCGGTCTCTTCTCAACACGTTTTTGCTCTTCGGAAGTGACCAAAAGAGACCCTTGACAGTTCTCTATCCATGTAGTCACAAAAATCATTCCCACACTTGGGAAAAGCTAGCCAGCAACTTCAGGGAGGTGCGATCCAGGCCCCTTTTTTGGGGTTGTCTTTGGAGCAGCAGCGATGCTATTTCGGCTGCTTCTGCTCAATTGCCTTTGATGTGTGCTCCTTTGCAGTGATAGATCGCCACTAAAAGGAACCCAGTTTGGCAAGCACACAGAAAAGGGGGCGGTGAGTGGGAGAGGAAAAAGGAGGGGACAGAGATGAGGAAGAAAAAGGAGAGAGAAGAGGAGGAGAATTGAACTCCTTAGTAGCTGCTTGGGAGCCTGCAGTGGACAGGTGCAAAGAAAGGTAAGAGGCAGAAGGAAAAAGGGCGTTACCTGAGGCTTAGACCTGCCCAGACACACATGAAAGGAAAATCAAAGCTTTGACAGTTTAACTCACTAATTTTAAAACACTAATAAAATGTACAAGCATTACTCTCTTCTTTTATCATTTAGATGGGGGATTTTCTTTACATAATCAAGTTGGGCTAGGAGCACCCCTCCCCCTCTTCCAAGTTCTCTTTAATGTTTATCTTTACTTAGTTAGCACACGATATAATCAAGATGGCTTTATATCTGCAAGGAAGTTTTAAATCGTACGCTAAAGTCTTGGTCTTTTAATTATCATAAAGTAGTTACATAAAACAAACCAGAACTTGATGATTAAGAGTAAATTCAAATGGGTAGAAAAGAAATGACTGATATTCTTTTCTTTTGGGAAGAACAGAAAATGAGTATCTGGAGGAGTATCATAAATGATGAAGAGACTCTGAGGCCCTTATCCAAAGATCATTTTCGTTAAGCCTAGATTTTTGGGATCACACTTTAATTATACAATCTAAAAATAACTACACAGAAAATAGTGTTGATTCTTATTGTGTTCTAAGACACAGGTGAAAATTTAAGTGTGTCTGTGCCTATGTGTAAAATAAAAAGCTACAAATACGAGCAAGTTAGATACATGTCTATTTAAACTTTGAAACTTTGATATTCAACTATTACCAGTTACATTCAAGATCTTGCCATTAAAATTTTTCAGTGGCAGAAGACTGGAGAATCTGGCGGATTTATGCTTCCTCTCAGAAAAAGTTTTAGGGAATTGCTGAAGATTTGTTTTTCAGTCTTGCTTCATGGAGTGTTCAGTCAAAGCCTAAACCTGGGAGCTCAAATGGATTTCATTGGTTTATTTTTCTTGTTCTGGAGGGGGTTTGCTAATTAATTATCAGGTGCTTTAAAGTAGGTAAAGTTACACCTTTTCATCACTGCAGCCTTAAGTACTGACCCTTGTGTGACTAAGTTATAAAAGAGTCCTTAAAACAAGTGATTTACTGTTGATAGATATGAAATAAAACAAAAACACTGGCTAAAAACAATAAACAGATAAATCACTTTAGAAGTGTATATTGCAAAGCCTGTTTTAAAGGTTATATCAGGTAAGTGTCATATTATTTTACCTTTCAAATAACAGGAGCCTGTCTTGTGGTAGGACCCCCAAATCCACCATAATCAAGGTTTCAAAGCACATCTGTGTAAACATTATCACATCAGTGTAAAACATCAACCAATAAGCTTTTACTTTGAACAAAATCTCCTTAATTGCAGTGTTAAATCAAAGAAAGTTAGATCAAAGTTGTGTGATTCGCATAGCGGGATATCTAAAGTAGCCTGTTACATACATTGATCACTTGAAGAAGGGATATTTAAAGGTTTAAAACTTAGATCAAGTACCTTTAATGAGGCTTGGTTCAAGGTCTAAATTCTGTTAATTATTTCACAATGGGTATATATCACTGTCACCTGCTGCTACAGGTACTAGTTTAGTCTATAAAATATTTCCCCATATAAGCACTTCTAGTCCTGTTATGTGATCTATAGTTAATACAGTTTTTAAAACACTTGTGCTACTTATACACTAAATGTTCTAAAGTATGGGAAGTTGTATTTTCATACCACCCCAAAGCTCAAATGTTTTAATGATAGAACAATCTATTATTTGAATAACTTTAACATTATCATGTGCATTACTTTATTTGATCATGAAAATAAATGTACCAGGACACATCTCACTTTGCAGAGAAGAAAACTGCCCTAGATTCCTGCTCAGGGTTCATTTAAGAAACATGGGAGCCAGAGCAAATTCTGTAAACTCTAACTCCTCTTTTGTAAAATAATAATAATAAATTCCTGCCTACTTCACTATGCCTAAATTTCTGAAAGACTTAAATGTCCAGATACATAGGAAAGTGATTTTAAAGTGTAAAGATTTTCATGCATTTCGTGTGTTAAACACCTTCAGGAACTAGGGTAATAACTTTTGCTTTATAATTTAGCCAGTTTGTTTGAAATGTAAAATAGACTTTTTAATTTATTTTCTTTCAAACTGAACCTTTAATGTGTACATTTTGAATGGTGCTTAATGCCATTTTATAAAGGACCAGAATAGAAACAAAAAGATAAGGATTGCTTTTGTTTGCACTAGTCATGTGACAGGAAAAGATAACACTAAAGATTTTTTTTTTCACATGCTGTGATGATATCATGGGAAGTTAAATAATTTTGAAGAGTGTTTTACAAGAGTGCATTATTCAACATTTAAGTATACACTGCAATCTAATCAACTTTACCTATACTTCCTAGAGACCACACTTGCCATGATGTTATACAAATATATGGTACAATTTCTACTTCCACTAAAAGTAGTTAGAGTTTCCAGACTATAATTCCTGTATAGCTTTTCAGCCAGGATTTTGCTATGAATCTTAACCATGAAAAAGAGTTAATACTTCTGCATGCTTAATTTTGGGGAAAAATAATTTACTCAAAAGTTGTGATTTATATCACCAATAAAACAAAAATGCATACACTTATTATTACAGTCTTGTTTCTAATTGTAAAATATTGGCAGCAATATGACTATCTATACATAGGAAACTGTTTGAATAAATTAGATTACATTAACATAATGGCTACAATACAGCAGAGGGAGAGAATAAAGAGAATAATGAAAAATGTCCCTATGAGCTAGTAATATTTAAATTCTATGTAATTGCTAAGTAAAAATGGGCAGTTTACAAAACAAGTATGAAAGAATACTTTGTTGTGTGCTTTCAAGTCAGAACTGACTCACAGTAGATTTTCCAACAGGTTTTCAGGAACAGTAAATGGCATAGGAGGAGATTGCTTATACTTCTCCCATAAAACAGCAGATAGTGGATTTGAACTGTGTGCCCTGGGATTGTAGCACAATTTCTTATGACTAGGCCACCAATCTACATATGTTTGTGTATACACACACACACACACACACACACGCAAACACACTTATTTTAAATAGTCATATATATATGTATATATATAGTCATATATATATGTCTGTGTGTGTGTGTGTATATATATATATATATATATATATATGGATTTTTCTAGTTTTCATTCTTAAAAAAAGTAGCATTCTTTTATACTCATTTTGTACAATGCTTTCTCCTTAGCAATGTATCCTAGAAATATTACATATTATTAGTTCATAGGGACCTATATCATTACTTTTTCCCCAGCAGTATTGTACACATTTTGTGAACATAGCACTAGTAGCACCAATTTATATCACCAGTTTCCTATGTATAGATAGTTATGTTGCTGCCAGTATTTTATGATTTGAAATAATATTGTAATAAATGTTGTCATTGTTATTGTTGTTGTTGTTGTTGTTATGTGCCATAGAGTTGTTTGCGACTCACAGTGAACCTATGTACAAGAGCCCTAACTGCCATTCTATCCTGTGCCAACCTCACTGTCTCAAACACATTCATTCCCACCACTCCACTCACAGAACCAATCCATCTTATCAAGGGTCTTCCTCTCCTCCGCCATCCCTCCACTCTCCCAAACATGATGTCCCTCTCCAAGGACCGGTCTCTCCTTGCAACATGCCCAAAGTATGTCAGATGAAGCTTCAGAATCCTTGACTCCAGGGAACATTCTGGCTTCACCCTCTCCAGGGCAAAGCTGTTTATTCTTCTAGCAGTCCATGGTATATTCAACACTCTTCTCCAGCACCACAACTCAAAGGCACCCATCCCTATTCACTGTCCAACTCTCCGATGCATAGCACGTAATTGCAAAGACTATAGCCTGGATCAGGCGCACCTTAGTCTCTGGCCTGATGTTGTTGCATGGAATGTGAGAAGCATGAATGTAGGAAAATTGGACACTGTTAAGAAAGAAATGGAATGTATAAATATTAACATACTAAGTATTGGCGAAATGAAATGGCTTGGCATGGGACACTTTGAATTAGATGATTGTATGATTTACTATGCTGGGGATGAAAAGGTGAGAAAAAAATGGGGTTGGTTTCATAATTAAAAAAATCATTTCTAGATCTATCCTGAAATACAATGTGGTGAGCCACAGTATAATATCCATATGCATACAAAGAAGTCAAATGAATACCACTATCATTCAAATATATGCAC